TATTCGTAGAATTGCTACAAGAATTATCCAAAAGAAAATAAATACTGCAATAAAAAATAAATAAACAAGTAAAGTGATACTAGTTGGATAGGTTTTAAAACGATTTTCAATCCCTTCTTTGGCAAATGTAGACTGCTTCATTTAGCCATACCGATCACATCGCCAACCAAAGTATGAATTGAAAGTCGTTGTAGAATCTATCCAACTTGTATCACTTTACTTGTTTGTTTACTTTTTATTACAACAACGATCCCTACTTTCTGTTAATTTTTTTCCTATCTATTTGTTCAGTTTTTATATCTCAACAGAATGAATACAACATCTATAAACTTACAGTATAACCATATCCCTGATAGCTATAACTTTTAGAAGAATTAAAACCACAATCACAAATTCATAAAATGTAATCCTTACTTTGGCCTACAGATAAGTGTATAAAGCTGCCAAAGTAGGGATTAGATGTTATCAATTAGTGATTGTGATTTTAGTTCTTGTTTCATTACTTTTTATAGCGGATCCCTACTTTATTTTAAAATTCATAATTTATAATACTCTTGCTTGTTTAATTTTTGTGTTATACCTGTATAAATATGTACTTTACCTTCAGAAACTGTCGCGAGTCCATCCATCGATATGTAGCGCCATCCGTTGTATTGAATTGGTTTGAAAAGATATTTAAGTACGTGCATGATATGTTTATCATTTATGTTATACCTGTTATCGGTCAAGTTTGTCAACTTATTGTTTGGATTTTGTATGATAAATGGGATATCCCAAAATGCGTGCTATGGCCACAAACGTTATTCGTTATGACAATGAGTTGAGAACTTGTACTGATAGTCCAAGCCCTCTAGGCGCTAGCCCCGCTGACGTGATCTGGTAGGTATGTAGTAGACGAAAAAGTTGCTTTTTTGAAAATTTTTGAATTGTTATACCGGAAATGCTAGCAGTCTTTTTTAAGCTAATTATTAGTATATATGCGCATAATATATCGTAACCAATACTTTGAATGATCGTTTTTTCGCTTAGGAAATCGGTAGAGTGTTTTTTCGACGTGTGAATTATTTGGAATTCTTGTCGATCCCTATTATTAAGTACTACTGTGCTTGAAATAATATTTTTAATCGATTTATAGCGGTTTTGATTCAAATACTACTTCGCAAGAGCTACAAATCTCACCCTAAGTTTTAGAGTAGTATTATACAAACACCATTTTGAAATCTGTAATAGAAGATATTACAATGCAAGAAATAATAGTGACGGAAATTATTAAAACTCCACAGGTATATATTGTTAAATATTTGTCCAACGGTTAATATATTCATCAAAATAACTCAATTTAGTATTTTTATTCAATTAATTAAAATTATGCAGGAACTAAATTCTCTATGTAAAGAAATAACTTGAAATTAAAAAGTTTCTCATATACAAGGGCACATTCTTCCTTTCTTTTTCTTCGTCTGTACTGCAACCACCACTATCTTTTCAAAAGCTGAAAGCGACAGAATATTCGACTTTCTTACAATGTAGAACAATATGGAAAATTGATCGTTTAGTTCACACTACGTTTTTCCAAAGGTCGATCACCCAGCGATTTGTATATCATTCACGATATTCTTGATCTTCTTTAAGAAATCAAGGGCTTTTTGTCAAAAGTTAACTTAAAAATCAAGCGAAATAACTGTCCGTAACATAATTAAACAGTCTCAGCTTATCCTATGTTATCATTTATGTCTTAAGGTCGTCCGAACGTTCAGAATAATTAATGTACACAAGTAACGGCTAATGTGATATCTGACCAACAGATGCCAGGACAATATACCTTTTTAACTTCGTTTTGTGTGTATATATTCGTGTATCTTGCATTCATTATCATGTCAAATTTACTTATTGCTCGATTTTGGTTTATTCTTGTTCAGATGTAGTTAATTTTGATGGACAAGTGAGCCTAACACCCTAGTTGAATTATCGTTGCAACATGACGTAGCGTGGACTTTACTATATTTGGTCAAAAGTAAACAGTCGTTACGACAACAACACACACAAAACATTCATTCATAGCGCAGAGGATACATTATTTATTTGTACAGGAATTTTGACAAGTTTGGAGAAAAACAAAAGTTAAGAATAATCTTACTCTACACCACCAACCCCTTGTTTATTCTTTAACCGAGGCTTAACCTGCGTTTTTATTGTGCTTTAAAAGTTGTGACGGATTAATATTATATAGTTATTTTAATAACGAGGTTTGTTTAAATCAAATTTATATTTAGAAATGTACATAACTTATACTGTTAAATCTGTATTCTGAAATACTCGCTTATTCTCTGAAGTTGTAAACGATTCTCGAATGTAAGAATCAACAATATATGTATGTATTTTTGCGTAACATTAAGTTTCGAAAAACTCTCTTCACGCCTATAAATATAACGAACGCAAAGCGCCTTAAAAACAGTATCTATTATTGGTTTGCTATAGTTGGTGTGCTATAGACTTCGGAAGCTATAGCTGTGACTGTTATAGCGTTTATTAATCGGGAACTTCAGATACTTGACCAAAAACATTTATAAATGT